GGTCACCTGCAGTCTGCCGGGGCGAAATCCTCAGTGTCAGTTGATGACATTATCTCTACCCGTATTCTCACTGATGAAGAGTTTGAGGCCATACGCAGACGTCAGGCTGAGAAGAAGGTGCGTTATAAAACGGAAGACTGGATTTTTCTGTACTTACGTTAAGTTTGCGTGAGAACTAGTAGATTATAGTTAGGTCACTGACCTTTATCTGAACATGACTGATCAATACCAAGAAGTTTAAAACTAGTAGGGTTTTTTAAACGGCTTCTGAGACTTCTTTCGAAATCTGCAATTATCATGCTATTATGAGACTCGGCAGCTCTATTTAAAGCCACTATATTGACGTTCCTCAATCTAAACGGAGTACTGAGCGGAATGCTACCAACAAGCTCGGTGAGAGTCTAGGCCTGAAGTATCGACTTTTCAACTTTTTGAATGATGCCGAGTTACTTTGATCGAGTAAATCACGTTTCGATGGATTTTAGTCGGGCTACGGGCGCAGCGGTACAAGTAAAGTAAGGAGAAATTGGGCGCACAACAGTGCACCAAATACCGGATCACTATTTCATTCTGAAGAATGCACTCTAAGGTCTGGCAATAAGTCAAACTGGGAATTTGACCTCCATCTTTGAGGAGCCATTTAAACTAAGTATTGCTATAATGTTAAGCTTTTATTAGGCATTTGAGCACTATAAAACGAGATGCGTTTTCTCCAGACGTTCATTAATCTCCCCACTTATTATTTTTGCTATTAATATTATTATTCTCGGTGGAATATTTTCAAATTGAGTGGCCCTTTTCAACCCTCCACTATGGATCCGTATAATTTAATACAAGAACTTGCCTGTTTCCCTTCAATACATTGCATTTAATTAATGCTTCATTGGTGCTAATTGGCGAAACCCTCGAGGGGCTGAAATATATACATTTTGAGGGATGATGGAAACGTGGGACTGGCAGGGACTGAACTATCTTCCAACAAGGCGCATTATAACAAGCATCTATCATACCTCGAAATATTTCCTTTTACACATTCAAGAGCGCCAAGCACCGTCTCCGAAAAGACCCCTGTTGCTATCAAGCCCATATTTCAGGTGACTTTAGGCCATAGTGTAAAGTCTGAAGGAAGTTTCTTCCCACAAAGTGCCCTTTTGCATTAAAGAAAAATGCAGCGCAAATGCAATTTTCCTCCTTTTTATAAATTCGAGGAAACCATTTAGAAAAAGCCAAAAGAGCCTCTGTTACCACCAAGTTGTATTTTAAAGGTGCAGGGTGGGATCTGCCCC